CAGGGCACAGATGGTCGTGTGCCTGGGCCTGAGAGGGAGCTGAGCATGAGCAGGGCAAGGCCGCTCGCTGGGGGCGGCCGGCGGGCCTCTCCCCACGCCCCTCACCCCTCACCCTCCCACCCACCCCTGGCCCTGGCTTCCTTGGGGCGAGGCCCGGACGAGTCCCTGGCCCTCTCTCAGCCTCAGTTTCCTCTGCCATAAGGGCTGGGAGGTGGTGAGGCCGGGGGACCCCCCCACCAGGCGTTCAGCTCCTGGACTCGGCCTCCTGGTCCTGGGTTCGGGGGACGCCTGCTGGGCACACGGAGAATCTGGCTCAGGCACCGCCGTGCCAGGATCATCGGAAAAATACCAAACTTTCCTCGGATGCTGAGCCGGAAGACGCTGAGGCAGGAAGGGGGGTGGGGGGGATCTGCCGTGCCGGGCCGGGAAGGAACAGGCCGCCTGTTCCAGGCACAAGACGCAGCGCGCGCCCTACCAAACCGGAGAAGGGGGGATCGGAAAGAAAGCGTCCCCCGGCTCCGTGAGGCCTCCCCGAGCCGCAGGCCGGGCCCAGCCCCTGCCCCCCCATCCCCTCCTGCCTCGGGCCCCCCGACCGGCCGTCGGCGTGTGCCCTGCACCGAGGGGCCTCCCAGACACCTGCCCCATCCTGCCCCCAGCTGCCCTGCTGCAGCGGGGACACACACCAGGCCGGTGTGGCCCAGGGTCCCTGCCGCTGCCACTCCCTGGACGTCTGTGACGATGGGGGTGGGGGGCCGGGGGGCCGGGGGAGGAAGTGTCTGTGACAGATGACAGGACAGCATGCCACCGCATCTTCGTCTCCCTTTGCTGGCATCCTGGCGCCTCCGTCTTCCCCTCCTCAGCCCGGCTTTCCTCCTCGGTCTTTACCCCCCCCCCCCCCGTTTCAGCTCTGAGCCAAGGTGTCCCGTGCCCTCGCCCCTGCGGCACCCTGGCAGGGGGAGGGGCATGCCGGCTGGGGCTGGGGCAGGGCCCGCAGGTGCCTCCTGGCGGCCCGGCTCAGCCGGCAGGCCGTCTGCCAGCTGCTCACCCACGCGGCCGCCCCAGCACTGCCTTGGAGGCGGACGAGCAGGGGGCAGCGGCGGAGAGCCCACAGCGGGGGCCGCGCGTCCCCCGGGTCCCAGGAGTGACACTGTGTCAGGGGGCTCGGGCCGGGAACGGCAGGGCAAGAGAAGGGGCCCTAGGCCTCGGGGACCCCAGCCTGTTCACCCCGTTTCCCGGGGGGAAACTGAGGCTGGGGTGGGCCCAACATCTCCGACCAGAAACGGGTGGACAATGGCTGGGCCTCTCTCTGTCGGCGACCCCGCCGAGGGCCCGCCCTGGGCAAGGCCCGCGTGGGCTGCAGCCCTTGGCCGAGAGCCCACAGATGCCCTGCCCTGTGCACGGCAGGGAGCGGCCGGGGTGGGGGCCCAGCCCGGAGTGGGGAGGCCGGTGTCACAGGCTCTGTTGCTCCGGGGACCCCTGGGCTGGAGTGGAGACAGGCTGTCCGCCAGGAAGGGCAGGTCCAGGAGCCAGGCCTGGTGTGGGCTCCCTGTGGCGGGCACAGGGCCAGCCTGGCCCGTGGTGGCAATGGGACGAGGCCATGTGGCTCGGATGGCCCCCCGGGGTGGCAGCCTGAGCAGCGGGCCCTTGAAGGGTGGGCACCCGAACCACAAGCCAAGGCCACGCAGCAGGAGGCCGGGGGGAGTGGCAGGCAGACACCCCTGCCCCGCGCCCAGCTGCCCCGTGTTTCCTCCGCGAGGACGGGGCTGGGAGGCAGCTGTTGGCCTCAGTTGGAGCGTGCACATGTGTGTACACGTGTGTGCATGTGCACACACAATGGTCTGTCTGCACAGGCATGTGCATGTGTGGTCACATGTGTGCATATATGCGTGCACATCACACACACCTGTGCATCTCTGCGTGTGTGCGCGCCTGTGTGTGCATGTGTGTCCGTGCACATGCAGGTGCGAGGGCATGCACACGCGTGTGTGTGTGTGTGTCAGGTGCGGGGGTGGGGCGCGAGGTGGACTTGAGCTGGCCCCCACCCCCACCAGTGCCGCTCACACCCAGGTGCTGGCCGCCCACACAGCATCGGGGGGCCCGGGAGCTGGCACCGAGGGGTCCCCCGTGGGCGGGTGTGGGGCTGTGGGGAGGCACTCGGTAGGTGGGCGCTGTCGGAGGCTGGAAGGGGGTCTGAGAGGCACAGGGTTCCGTGTCAGGGGGTGGGGCTCCCCGGGGCTTTGGATTTGAGGGAGATCCATTTTGAGATCAGCACCTGGAGGCCCCGGGGCAGAAGTCAGAGACCTGGAGGGGCTTGAAGGGGGGCTGCTTGGGTTCTAGCGGGGGCAGACACCCCTGTGGTGGCCAGGCCCGCCTCCCCCCTCCTTCCAGGGTAGGCAGGCAAGGCTCCGAAGGCGCCAGGCCCAGGGGCAGCACACCGGCTGAGCTCTGAGAGTGGGGGTTCCCCAGGCACACCCCCCCACCCTGGGCGTCCTGCCCAGGCGAGGCTGGGAGTGGGGGTCTGTGCTCTGTGGGAGAAGGTGGCCCGGAGGGCAGGGCGGCCCTTTTCCCAGAGGCGCCAGGATGGAGCTGGGCTCCAGTGCGGAGGTTTGCGGAGATTTGCGGAGGGCTCCTGGGGCGGTAATTGGGCAGCGATTATGTGTTCCCGAGCCAGCAGAGCCGCAGCCTGTTGCGACCTGTCACCGCGCCCCGAGAGCTGGCCCCTGCGCCGTCCTGCCGGGCCCGCCTTCCCTGGACTCCGGCCGTCCTGGCCGTGGGCGGGGGAAGCCCAGGGCCTGGGTCAAGCCCAGCCCGACCTTGACACCCTGTCTCGGCCGCCGCCCCCCAAAGGGGAAGCATCCCCCCTGCCTTCCGATCTCTTGCCTTTGCTCACCCCTCCCCCAGCATCTCCCTGCCTGGTCCAGCCCTCCCCAGCTCCCCCCACACCAAGCCCTGCCGGACCACTGCAGCCTCAGGTGGGGAGGGTGGAGGCTGGGGACCTCTGGGGCCCCAAGGACAGCAGAGAGCTGAGCCCTGGCTCGGCGCCCAGCCAGTCAGGGGACCTGGGCCTGAGTGCCACCCTCAGGGGCCTCGGGGGCTTTGCAAACTGTGGGGGTCCGCGGGGCTGCTCCTGTTCACTCGGGTGCCGGCTCTGGCACTTCCACGGCACACGGGCGTGCGCGTGCACGCGGGCGGCGAGTGAGGTTCCCAGCCGGCTGGCTCGGGGGCGCCCCCCACCCCGACCAGGGCCCTGGGACACGGGCTGGGCTCACCTCAGACGCGGGCCCGGGCTCCCGGGCTCCCGGGCCCCCGGTCACGCACGGCCTGTGGGCGCCTCCCTCGCAGGCCTGCGGCCTCCCCGCTCGGGGACGCCCGGCCGGCCGGAGACTCCGGGATTCCTGCTCTGGAAGCTTCCCTGCCGCCTCCCCCTCCCTGCGCCGCGCGCCCCCACCCCTGCTGCCCACCCACTCGCCTTTAATTAGAAATGCCAGGAGAGCGATTTTTGGAGAGTTTGTGCCAGAAAGACTTTCCCGTCCACAGCAGGGGCGGAAGCTCGGGGAAAAGGAGGAGACAGATTGGCTCTGGGCGGGGAGGGGGCCCCGGGAGCGGGGGAAGGGCCGGGAGCAGGGGACCCCGGAGTGTGGGCACCCGAGCAGTGTGTCATGGAGTGAGCCAGAGCCGCTGGGGCGTGCGAGGGGCGCGGGGTGAGCATGTGTGTGGGGGACGCGTGTGTCGGGGGATGAGTGTGCCTGCGGGGGGGTGCGAGTGCGGGGAGCTGTGACTGGGACATGAGTGTGCAGTGTGTGTGTGTGTGCACCTGTGTGCGAGGAGGGAGAGGGGAAGGGGTGGCCGGGCTCCCGCGTCCGGACCGGCACTGGCCATGACTGGTGTCCCTGGCTGGGGGCAGCGGTGTTTGTTCCCTGCGCCCGGGGGGCATCGGGCCCGGCCCCCCGGGGTAACCCTGAAAGGACGTCCTTCCCGCCACGGTTGCCAGGGAGGCGGAGGGGAATCTCAGCTTCCGGAGCCCTACGCCTTATATGGTGGTGTCTTCTCGCCTCAGCCTCTCCGCCACTGCAGAGGCTCCCGCGCCGCCCGCCCGCCCTCCCCCTCCCCCTCCCTCCCCCCTCTGCCCACCTCTGCAAGTCTGCAGCTTCTGACCAGGTGCCCCCAGGGGCCAGGGGGGCTCAGGGCCCAGCCCCCTACAGGGGGCCCCTGCAGGGCCCCTCCACCTCCTCCCCGCCCCACCCCAGGGAGAAGCTTCCAGATTCCCCAGGGGCACTAAGTGGGGGTGCCTTGGGCCTCACTGAAGCCCTGGGAGTGGCGCGGTCCTGGCGGCCACGGCGGAGGCCGGCACCTCCACACCCGTGCCCGGGGCCGGCGGAGCCAGGACCTGGGCCGGGCCCTCGCGCACGCACAGGCGGAAGGGCTGGCCCCCAGGGCAGAGCCGGGCAGAGCTGGGGCCGCACTTGGGACTCAGAGCTGACACTTGGGAGCGAGCCTGTGCCTCGCGCCATTAGGCGTCCTGGAACCTTCGGCTCAAGGGGCTGGAGGGTCTGAGTGCCCTGGCGGCCGTCAGGGTTAACCTGTGGCTGGCCGGCGGCTGCTGCTGGACTGGGCGGGCTCCGCATCAAGGCCGGGAGCAATGAGGACACAGAGGAGCACAGCGCGGCCCCCCCTCCCCGCCCCCCAGCCCCCACCCCCCACCCCCCAGTAAAGCGAGAAAGATGAGAAGGCCCACCCTGAGGCCTTGGGGGAGGGGTTTCCTGCTTACCCTCGGGTGGGGGGCGGCCTCTCCAGGCACACAGCCGCACCCCCCCTCCCGTCCCGCCCCGCCCACCACGGGCCGGGGGTGGTCGCTGGTCCCCAGAGCGACCCGCAGACTTTGCAGGCTGAGTGACCCTGGGGAGGGGGCGGCGCAGCCAGCGGATTAGTCACCCGGGGCCAGCGTGTGTGCAGGGGGTGGGTCCTACCTCCGTGCCGAGCTTGAGTGGGCGCGGAGGCGGGCTCACGGGGCGGGCGCGCGGGCCAATGGGAGCCGGGACTCAGCGCAGGGGCCGCCCACGGCCGCGCTGGCAGCATAAAGAGCCGGCGCGCGGCGGCAGGCTGCAGAGCTGGGCGCCGCTGCTCCCGCACCGCCTTCCTGCGCCTCTCCCGCCGCCTTCCCGAGCTGCTGCCGCCGCCGCCGCCGCGGCACCAGACCCAGAGCGACTCAGCCTCCGCCGCCCCGCCAGACTTGCCGCTGCCGGCGCGCCCGCACCTGCGCACGGCCGGACCCCGAAGCCCCACCGGCCCAGGAGGACTTTGCAGCCCGCCGCCTCCCGCTCGTCCCAGCACCTGCGCGCAAATGGAGCTGGACCACAGGACCAGCGGCGGCCTTCACGCCTACCCCGCGCCTCGAGGCGGGCAGGTGGCCAAGCCCAACGTGATCCTGCAGATCGGGAAGTGCCGGACCGAGATGCTGGAGCACGTGCGGAGGACCCACCGGCACCTGCTGGCGGAGGTGTCCAAGCAGGTGGAGCGCGAGCTGAAGGGGCTGCACAGGTCGGTGGGCAAGCTGGAGAGCAACCTGGACGGCTACGTGCCCACCAGCGACTCCCAGCGCTGGAAGAAGTCCATCAAGGCCTGCCTGTGCCGCTGCCAGGAGACCATCGCCCACCTGGAGCGCTGGGTCAAGCGCGAGATGCACGTGTGGCGGGAGATCTTCTACCGGCTGGAGCGGTGGGCCGACCGCCTGGAGGCCATGGGCAGCAAGTACCAGGTGGGCGGCGACGCGGCCCGCCACACCGTCTCCGTGGGCGTCGGGGGCCCGGAGGGCTGCTCCCAGGAGGCCGACGGCTACGACTTCCCGGTCAGCCCCTACGCCATCACTCCGCCGCCGGCCGCCGGCGAGCTGCCGGGGCAGGAGCTGGAGGAGGCCCAGCAGTACCCGCCCTGGGGGCCCGGCGAGGACGGGCAGCCCAGCCCCGGCGTGGACACGCAGATCTTCGAGGACCCGCACGAGTTCCTCACCCACCTGGAGGAGTACCTGCGACAGGTGGGCGGCTCCGAGGAGTACTGGCTGTCGCAGATCCAGAACCACATGAACGGGCCGGCCAAGAAGTGGTGGGAGTTCAAGCAGGGCTCAGTGCGGAACTGGGTGCAGTTCAAGAAGGAGTTCCTGCAGTACAGCGAGGGCACGCTGTCCCGCGAGGCCCTGCAGCGCGAGCTGGACCTGCCGCAGAAGCAGGGCGAGCCGCTGGACCAGTTCCTGTGGCGCAAGCGGGACCTGTACCAGACGCTCTACGTGGACGCCGACGAGGAGGAGATCATCCAGTACGTGGTGGGCACCCTGCAGCCCAAGCTCAAGCGCTTCCTGCGGCACCCGCTGCCCAAGACCCTGGAGCAGCTCATCCAGCGGGGCCTGGAGGTGGAGGGCGGCCTGGAGCCGGGGTCGGAGACCGCCAGCCCCCAGCCCCCCGCCGGGGACGAGGCCGAGGCCGAGCCGGAGAATGAGAGCAACGAGGCGCTCACGCCGGCCCTCACCAACGAGTCTGCGGCCAGCGACCGGACCCAGCCCGAGTAGAGGGCCTGGCGGCCCCGGCCTGCCCGCCACACCCCGCCTGTGGCCTTTGCCAACCAAGACTTTTGAGCCGGGCTGACCCCCGCAGGGGGAGCCCCGGTCCCCCACCCGGTGGGCGCGCTGCCACCAGCCTCCCAGCCCGATTCTCACAGCACACGCCGCCCAGTTCTGGACAGCGTCCCCCACACAGTGGAGGAGCCCCCGTCCCCTGCAGGGCCCTGCCCGGCCCCTCCCTTCCTCCCTCCGTCGGTCGTCCAGGGCCTGGGCCTGCCCGGGCCACCCCCCGCCCCTCCGCCCCACCCAATAGACCCACTCTCTCAGGCCACCACAGCGGTCTCCGCCTCCTCAGCCTGCTCCGCGCCTGGGCCCTCTGGGCCCGCAGAAGCCACGAGGCCCTGTGGCCCGGGCCAGCAGGCACCACGCTCACTCGGGGGACTCCCTGGAGCAGAAGCAAAAGCCCGGTGCCCCGTGCCCGGTGCCCGGTGCCGTGAGACCTCACCTCCGGGCCAGCGCCCCCTCCTGGCGGTCGCCTCACAGGCCGGCCAGCCCGCCCGCCTCGGACAGCACAGTGTGGCTCCGTGTCCTAGGGGACACCCGAAGCTCAGGCACAGCCTCAGCAGCCGCAGCAGCAGCAGCAGCAGCAGCAGCAGACCTGGCCTCCTGGTCTCCTGGCCGCTCAGGTGAGCCCCTGCATCAGGGCACGGCCGCTAGGGGTCGCCACAGAACCAGGAGGGCCCAGGGCCAAGTCCCTGTTCCCGGCCAGCCCACAGAGCCTCAGAGGCACCCCAGCAAGCCCGCCGCCGCGGGGCTGGGGTGGGGGCGGCAGCGTGGAGAGGCGGGAGGGCGCAGAGACCGCGGGGCCAGGGAGAGGGGCCGGGTGGGAGGCGGGCCGGGGGAGGCTGCTGAGCCAGCTCTCACAGTGCCGGTGCTCCTCTCCCGCAGGGGTGTCCGTGACTCACGCCAGCTCAGCGGGTGACTCAGCCCCCGGCAGGCGGGGGGTCCCCAGAGGCCTGAGTCCCCGAACCGGCTGAGGCAGCCGCCGGTGTCTCCGGAGCCAGGAGAGCTACAACAGGTAATGGAGCCCCAACCCCCGCACTGAGACTCGGACCCTCCGCTGCACTCCCCCGGGGGCCTTGGGGTCCCTCCCCAGCCCCTGCCCCTGCCCCTGCCCCAGGCCTCCGGGCCGGCTTGGGGGCAGCCCTCCAGGGTCCCCGGGTCCCGGGCCCAGGGAGCAGCCCTGCTCTGCCCTTCCTGCCCCTGACCATGCTGTGTCTTCCTTCCAGGTCCCCAGGCTCGCCCAGAGCCCTGCTGCTGTGCCCGGCACTGCCCGCTGCCCGCTCCTCCCACCAGCTGCCCGCGCGGGAGGAGCCGTCTGAGGCCCCAGAGGGGCTGCTGCAGAGAGGAGGGGCCCCGGGAGAGCGCGCCGAAGACTCCCGGCCTGGAGGCCAGGGCCCGCCGCCCTGCCTGCCCCGCCTGCCGGCCCCCAGGACCTCTGTGGCTGGAGCCCTGGCCCCACACCCCGGGCCCCGCCTTGCTCCGGCCCAGCAGCCCTGCTCGCTGTGCGGCCTCTGCCCCCGCCAGAGCTTCCCGAGAGCCCCGGCCCGAGGCCAGGAGGCCAGCCCCAGGACACCCCAAAGCCTCGCTCCTGGGGCTCCAGCTGCTCTGCCAGCCGCCGCTGCCCAGGCCCTGACCGCCCCCCACCCCAGCACCAGAACCCCGGTGCCGCAGAGCCCGGCCTGTTTGGGGGGCCCGCTCTGCCTGTCCCCTGGGGGCTCCCAGATTCACTGATGACAACGTCTGCAGGTGACCGTCGGCTCCTTCACTCTGTGCTCCTGCCAGCCCCCCAGATTTTATTTTTACACATGAGCCATAGCCCGTCCTCTCAGGCTGCGGGGGGCCCCGGGTCCCCCCGCCCCCACAGACCCAGCCTGGAGGGCCCTGCCAGGCTGGGGCCCCCTCCCTGAGGACAGACCCTTTTGTAAGACTTTGTTAATAAAATGCTGAGAACTGGAGGGCGGTGTGCCTCGTCTGTGCCCGCGGGCGTGCTGGGTGGGGCCGCGGGGGGACACTGCTGGGCTCGGGGGGGGGGGCCCCTGAGCTCGGACTGAGGGGCCCCAGGGGCCCCGGGGAGTACAGCCCATTGCCCCCCAGGGCAGCTGGGCCAGGTCCTGGCTGCTCAGGCTGTGGAGGCCTTCGGGGGTCTCCTAGACAAGTGGTCCGGGCAGCACCCGTCCCCACCCCATCCCAGTCAGGCTGCCCGCAGGCCAGTGGGGCTGCATGGAGGCTGAGGCCACCCCCTGCGCTTGCTGGGGGCCTGCCCGGTAGGGGCCCTGGGAACTCTTCTCCCGGGCCCAGCTCCCACAGAAGCCTGTGGCCCAGGGAGGCTCCCCAGGCCCCGGAGCCCTGGGCACAGGCAAAGCAAGTCCCTGCCGGGAGGGGACCCTGGCGGGTCCTGGCTGCAGAATCGTGCATTTGATCTCTAGGCCTCAGCTTCCTCATCCTCAGAATGGGGACCCTTGCCGACACAGCCGTGCGTGGGCGCGAGGACTCAGGAGTGAGGGCTCTGGTGCCCTGGCGTCACCTGCCCCTGGGAGGCACGCCGGGTCTCCAGGGGGAGGGAGAGGTAACCTGGAGAGGGTGCGTTCCCACCCACCAGGGTTTCTGGACAAGCAGGATGGGGGGGACAGATGGGGAGGGGTCTGTGATGAGTAGCCGGGGCTGTACCCTCCTGTCCCAGGCCGGGGCCGCTCTGCCGGGAAAGCCTTCCAGCGGAGGGAGGGAGGGACGGAGGGACGGAGGGACGGAGGGACGGAGGGACGGAGCCCGGCCCAGCACGGCCACCTCGGCGGTGGCCCCCGTCCACACAGGGCCTCCCCACAGCCAGATGGGGGTGTGAGGCCACGCCCAGGGACGGCGCCCTAGCCAAGTGCCCTCACAGCCCGGCTCAGGGCCTGCCCCTGAGGAGGCGCCGCTGTGCTGGGGGCCGCGAGGGGGCGGCGGGGATGCCGCCCAGGCTGGGCAGGGCTGCCCCTCCCAGAGCCTGGACGCGGGGCCAGAGGCCGGAGTCCGCTGGGGCCCGAGAGGGGGGCACCTGCAGCCGGGACTCTCTGTCGCCCCCTGTCCGAGGGGATGGGCCACCGCCCCCCCACTCTTCCTGTTCTTTGTTGTGCCTGACGGCAGCTCTGAGAAAGAGGGACAGGAAGTCGCGGGAACCGGAGGGTTTTCCTTCCAGCATTGTGCTCTGCACTCCGGGCTGCGGCGGCAGGCGCCCGCCCCCCGCCCCCCCCCCCCGCAGAAGTGCCGCCGTCCCGTCACCGCGGCGGAGCAGGCTGTTCCGACACTGCCCGTGCTTCCGCCGGCAGCCGCAGTCTGTGTGCGTCTGTTCTCTGTGTGTGTGTCTGCGAGTCTGTGTGTCTGTCCTCTCTCTGTCTGCGTGTCTGCGTGTCTCTCCTCCTCTGCCCGCGCCCTCGGCAGGGCGGGGAAGCAGCTGGGGTCCGAGTGGGGGCATGCCTGCGGGCCCTGGGGACGAGGGGGTGGAGGGGCAGGGAGGGCACTCTGTGGAGGACGGGGCGGGGGGACAGAGGGGAGCAGCCTGTCCTCGGGCGGGAGTCCGGAGGACCCCCGGGTGGGGCTGGGGGGCACTCGGCTGGCCGCCCCAGCCCTTCCCCACGCAGCCGCCCCTCAGACAAGGCTGGACCAGCCGTCTCCCCACCAGGCGCCTCCCCCTCTTCCTGCCCCCCCCCAGGCCGCTGGATGTGGGGCCACAGCCGCAGGGGGCCTCTGGCCACTGCTGTCTGAGAGGGGGCCTCAGAGCAGAGTGGGGAAACTGAGGCCTGAGCGGGCAGGGAGCCGCCAGGGGAAGTGGACAGTCTCCTTCACGTCCCTTTCGGCCTCAGGCTGAGCCTGCGGGCAGGGGTCAGGCGGCCAGCGGCCAGCGTCCCTTCCTCGGCTCGGCCCGGGGGTCCCGCCGGTCATCTCCCACCTGTCCTGCCTTAGGTGGACCTGAATGGGCATTGGTCACTCTGCCTGGCCAGCCCGCCCCCCTCTGTTAGCCTCTCCGAGCCCCACCCAGAGCCAGAAACTCAGCCACCCCCGGAGACCTCGTGGCCGGAGGGTTGGCAGGACCTGGAGCCCCGACCGCGGGCCAGTCCTGCTCTGCTCCGCACCCGCACGCCCACCGGGCGCTGCCTCCAGTTCCAGCAGGGAGGGGCCTAGGAGAGGCCTGGCTGCCCCTCCCCCCCCAGCCCTCCTCCCCCCGGGCAGGCCAGCTAGAGGCTGCCTGTGTCTGTGGGACGGCACGGGGCACCCCTAAACGCTGCCGTCTGTCCCTTCCCCGGCCTCGCTCGGTGTCAGGGCGGCCCCGGCCGGGGAGCCTGCCTTCCTCCCGCCTGTGCGGCCAGGCCAGGCCAGGGCACCTTCTCCGGCAGCTCACCACTCGGCGGCCAGTTGTCCCGGCCCCGAACACCCCCCAGGGCCGCGGCCAGCGCCTCGGCCTCCTTTCCTACACGTTCGTCTTCCCCCGGGATTTCGGATTCCCATGGTCCGGGTACCGCCCCCCACACCCCATCCTCCCCGCTTCCCCGCCACCCCGCCGCCCCGCCCCCGACCGGGTGCCATTCTATGGCCTCCGGGTCTGCTTCCCCGTCTGGCGCCGCTTCTTGGAATGAAAACATCTTTTAAAAAAATCGGACAGCTCCTGGGCCCGCCTGGGTGTGTCCTGCCTCAGGCCGAGGCCGCAGGCCCACGCCAGCCCGCCGGGGCCCTGCCCGGCCCCCCGCCCCCCCCCCCCCCCGCAGTGGTGGGCAGCCACCCCAGCCCTCGGTCTCTGGCCCCCTCGGCCCCTCCTCCACCACCACCCACCCTTCTGTCTCCATTTTTTAAAAAAATTTAAGAATGTATTTATTTTCAGAGAGAGGGGAAGGGAGGGAGAGAAACGTCCATCACTTGCCTCTTGTATGCGCCCCCGGCTGGTAATGGAGCCCCAAACCTACGTCTGTGCCCCGGCTGGGAACCGAACTGGCGACCTTTCAGTTTGCAGGGCAGTGCGCAGCCCGCGGAGCCACACCGGCCAGGGCTCTGTCTGCACTGCTGTCTCTTTCCCGCTCAGCCTCGTCCCGCCAGGCACTGCCCCCCCCAGAACCCCACCTCTGTCCACCGCCTTCCTCCCTCTGACCTGCCCTCTGACCTGCCCTCTGACCTGCTCTCCTTGCCGGAGCCCAGGACCTCAGGCCTCAGGCACAGGCCCCACTTCCGCGACCTCAGTGACCCCAACACAGCTGGAAGGACCTGGGGCGGCCCCATGTCCCTCCCCGGGTCCCTTCCCGTGTCCTTGACCGGGCCCCAAGCTGGGCGCCGGCCCGAGGAGGGGCCGCAGAGGCCGCCGGTGGCTCGGCTGGAGAGGGCGGGGCCGAGCTTTGGCCGCTGACCTGTCCCTGAGTCGCAGCCCTGCATGGGGCGCACCTTGGGTGCCCAAGGGAGGCCGGCCTTGCTTCCAGGCCATTACCCAGAGACGGCAGCTACCTGGAGAGGGAGTGAGCCCCTCACCCCGAGGGCAACCAAAGGCTCTGGAGAGACAGTCAGACCGGGGACCTCCGAGGCCCACCCGACTCCACCCTCAGCTGCCTCTGGGAGTCCCGCTGGGAGCCATGGAGCTGCCTAGCACCCGTCCACCCCCACCCCGTCCACGGAGGACCGCGCGGCAGCCGGACTTCCCACACAGCCTCCGCAGCCCCGCTCCCGCCCTCCCCTCCCCCCGTGTTTCCCACACGCCACCCTCGGGGTCCTCCACGAACCCTCCTCTCCCCTCCCTGTCCTGGCACCCGCCTGCTGCTCCCGAGGACACGGCCCCCCGTGCCCGCCCAGCAACCCCTCCCCCACCCCTGGGCTCCCCCTTGGGGGGCCCTGGGCTCCCCGCCCCGGCTGCCGGCTTGTCTGGCGTCTTCCATGCCAGCAGCGGAGTGTGAAGGGGCTATTTTTAGCCTCCGTCATCCCCGGGATTGTCTCGTCTCTGTTTGGCCCTGGTGCTGGATTCCGCCGGAGAATGCCGGCCCGTCTCCTCGCGCTCGGGGGAAGCCGGGAGAGGGGGACCCCTCGGAACCTCCTCCCTGCCCACGCCGCTGGAGGGCTCTGCCCGTCCGCTGCGCAAAGGCCCACAGAACCTTGCAGAAGCCCCGCCCCCCCACCCCCCAGCCAGAGAGGCCTGGGCACAGGAGGGAGGCCGGGGGCTCGGGCCGGGGGCTCGGGCTGGGCCCCTTGCCATCCTGCACAGCCCTGGAGTGGGGCCCGGCTGGGGGCCCCTGGAGCCGGCCGTGCAATGACCCCCCCCCACATCCGAGACGGCCCAGACTTGGCCGGGGAGTGGACACTGCTTTTCTCTGGCCCCTGGGGCAGCGGGAGCCTGTGGTCCCACTTGGGCCCCCGCCTCTGCCGGGGCCCGGGCCTCCCTCAGGAGGCACCGCCGGTGTGGGAGCCGCGAGGGCACTCCAGCTGTGGGCTGCTGTGGTCAGCACAGCGCAGGGCCCACTTCCTGTGGGGTTTCCCCACCGGGGGGAAGGGGGTGAGGGGCGTGGGGGCCTGCACGGTGGGCTGGGCTTCTCAAACCGTCCTCTGTTGGAGGCCGGCGAGGGGTGGGGGCAGGAATGAGGCTTCTCAGTCAGGGCGGACAGGTGACACGCCTGAGGGTCTGGGGCCAGGACCGGCCCAGGACCCACCCAGGACCCACCCAGGACTCCAGTTCCCAGGCCCCAGACCACCGCGCCTCCCCTCCAATCTGCCTCCTGAGGTTGTCTGGCCCCCTGCTCCCCAGCCCCCTTTGGCTCCCCTCAGCCCGGCCTTCCAGTGGGTTGGTGGGCTGCCTCCTCCAGGAAGTCCCCCGTGATTTTGCTGTCATCCAAGTGAGCCCTGGCGAGTAAGTCAGCCTGGACACATTGCCTGTGTCACAGCCCTGCTTCCATCCCCGTAAGTCTC